TGTTTTAGATGTTTGGCCAGGAGAGATCTCCATGAGGAAACCTGGCCCCCAGGCTAATTCAGCGAGTCTACAGGAGGCCCCAGATCCCCAGGTGATGGACTTGTGAATGCAGAGCTACTGCAAAGGCCTCATTGTACACAAGGGGAAACTGAGGACAGGAAAGGAGCAGAGACTTACTCAAGGTCATACAGAGAGACCACGGGGCAACCCAGGTCTCTGCTGCAAGCCCAGAGCCTTCTCCCATGCAGCCTCAGCCCTTCCTGCCCTGGGCGGCCTGCCTTTGGCTGTGAGAGCAGAAGTTACAGCCATTGTGGGCGAAGCAGGAGACAGGTCCAAAGCTGGTCTGGCTGAGGGGACGGGGTTGTGATGGCCACAGGGAGGGTCCTCCCTTTGTCCCCTTCCAGGTTGTGGTCCCCGAGGCTGCAAGCTGCTGACACAACGGGTGAGAGAGGCTGCAGGAGGTGGGGGTCACTTCTTAATTACCACCTACGCTAGACCCTGAGATGCATGTTGACACCAGAGGGCAAGTTTTCTGAGACAGAGAGTTTTGAGGGCCCCTGCTCAGTACCCCACTCCCTACGGCCTATCAGATCCCTCACCACCTAGTCTGGTGCATATCAGCCTCCAGAATCATCTAGACCACAGGGACTTCAGACAGGCCACCAAGGCTGCTGCAGAAATGTTTCTTTTGGCCCACACAATGCTTTAAAGTCATTTAAATTTCTTATGACACTTTCAGAGCTGGAGTTTACCTGTGAAAACCTGTATTTGGAGCTTCTCCAGAAAAATTAAAAGATTTGGAGGCTGTGGAACCCCTACACCTCCTATGCTTACATTCATTCGTTCATTCACCATTTACTGAGCACCTACTACATGCCTGGCACTGTTCTGACCACTTGGGGCTACATCACTGAGCAAAATAGACAAAGCTCTGTCCTACAGGAGCTTATGTTCTATCAAGAGGAACGGACGGTAAGCAATAACTATAACAGATATGTAAATTATACAATATTTCAGGTGATGATGTAAGAGCCCTATGGGGGAAATAGGGCTCTCAGGGGAAGGGGAGTTGTCATTTTAATTATGAATTAATTAATCAGACCTTGAAGGCATTTAACTCTCAAGAGCAGTGCTGTCCAATAAAAATGTAATACAAACCACATACATAAGTCTAAGCAGCCACATTTAAAAAGAGGGACAAGAAACAGGTGGAATTAATGATAAATAAATGTTTTATTTAACCAAATATCTGCAACATGTTATTTTAACAGGTAATCAACATAAAAAATTATTTTTCTATGTCCAGAGTCTCTTGTGGAAATGAAGACAGCATGGGCAGAGGGGGTACTGTCACCCTGCCGGGGGCGGGGCGGGGACAAAGGACCGACCACAGCTCAGAAGCCAGCCACTCCCCTCGCCGAGGAGATTCTGAGCTCCAGAGAGAGACAGCTGCCACTCCCGGTTTGCACTGCAGGTTTGCCCCAAGCAGCCTCTCAGCCCCAGCTTCCAGCTTTCGGGATGCTTCTGAATATGGAGCTCCTGGCAGGTCAAGAAGTCCCGAGGGAGAGGGCCTTCCCTTCCCTTTTGATTTGCTTGTGAAATTCTCCAGAGCTGGTTATCAAGAGCCTCCCACAGCACACAAACTGCTCATCCTCCTTGACTCCTGCGGTAAGAATCGAACGCAGCCCTTCAGAGCCATCCTCTGCGGAGCAGGGATAATCAGTGCCTCGCCTATCTCCTGGGGCAGTTATGCAGATAAAATAACCGAAGTTCAGTTACCCAGCTCTTCCACTGGCAAAGCTGCAGAACTTCTCACACCCCCCGGCTCGGACCCCGCCCATCACACCGAAAATAAAACCCTCCATCCTTTCTGTGGCTTCTGAAGCCACCTTCCCCAGGCTTGTGTCCCCAAGCCTGCTCAAAGCTCAGTTTCTCAGAAAAGCCTTCATCATCCCACCTTGCCAACTAGCAGCACCCTCACCCTTCTCTGTCCCTTTATGTTGCCTTATTTCTCTTCTTAGCACTTACCACCTCCTGGCATAGCCTACAGGTATTTCTTTTCTTCTTTGTTTAGATTTTATTTATTTAAGTTTAGAGAGAGGGGAAAGGAGGGAGAAAAAGAAGGAAGAAAAACTGACAAACATGCGAGAGAAAAACATCCTTTCATTGCCTCTTGCATGCCCCCAACTGGGGACCGCACATGCCCAGACTGGGAATCGAACCAGCGACCTTTCAATTCGCAGGCCAGTGCTCAATCCCCTGAGTCACACCAGCCAGGGCTACAGGTATATCTTTACATAGCCCCTCCTAGCGTGTCAGCCCCAGCAGGGTCCCGGTCTGTCCTGGCCCCTGTTGCACCCGCAGCATCCGCATGCACAAAAAATAGCAGATACTATTTACTGAGCACTTACTATGTGCCAGGCACAGGTTCCAAGCATTTTACAGACAGTAACTCATGTAGTCCCTTACTCCGAGGGAGGTACAATTTTGACCTCATCTTACAGATAAGGAGAATGAGGCACAGAGAAGTTCATGAACTTGCTGGAGGTCACACAGACAGGAAGTGGAAGAGCCAGGACTCACCCCTGGGCAGGTGGGGTGCAGGGCCCCCGACTGTGCTAGTCCATCCACTGCTGCGCTCCCTAATGATGATGAGTGAGTAAAAACTAGGTAAAGGGAAATCAAGAGGCTGCTCCCTCCCCACCCCAGCTGCCCTGCCTTAGAGGACTTGTTTGCTTCATGGTGGTTAAAGAAAAGAAAGAGGCAGGAGGGGCTGCCCCGGGCCCATTTTTACTGGTTATCCCAACAGACAAGGGGCCGCCTTCTGTTCCTTCAAATAGACTCCCTGAGCTCTTGTGATTTATACAAGCACATCTCACTTTATTGCACTTCTCTCTATTGTGCTTCTGGATGTTGTACTTTTTTATGCATTGAAATCAAGATCCTCCACCAGTAAGAAGACGACGCCTTGCTTTACTGCAGTGGTCTAGAACCAGAACCGTGCTATCTCTGAGGTATGCCTGTAATACAAAATACACGTGCGGTCATCTTTCTCTGAGCACTGAGCCCTGGCCAGGTAGCTAAGTTAGTGAGAGCATCGTCCCAACTGGCTAAGGTTGCAGGTTCAATCCCTGATCAGGACATATACGAAAAGCAACCAATGAGTGTATCAGTAAGTGGAAAAACAAATTGATGTTTCTCTCTCTCGCAAATCAATAATTTAAAGCAAGACAGCACACTGGGAGCATCCTTTATCCTAATACTTGTTCTGTGTCCTCCTGTTCTGAAATAGCTCCAGGGCCACAAAGGTGAAACCAGGGTCTGTTATTCATATCAAACCCCTTTCAACCACACCTGAGTTTATGGTAATGAGTGTAGTTTGGAAGCCCCTAAGGATGGAGACTAGTTGCCAAGAAAACCAACCCTGTGCTTAGAGTGTAAGGTTAGGGGCTAGAGTTTGACCAATGGCCAATGGCCAATGGCCAATCCTTTATTCAATCATGCTCATGTAGTGAGGCCTCAAAAAACCCCAAAGTGATGGGGTTCTGAGAGCTCCTGGGTTATGAGCATGTGGAGAGCGGGGAAGGGGGCGCACCCAGAAAGAATGTGGACCCTCTGGCCCCTTCCCACAGAAACCTTGCCCTGTGCATCTCTTCCATCTGGCTGTGCTTGAGTCTGGGGTGCATCTTTTGCAATAAACTGGTGATCTAGTGGGTAAACTGCTTTCCTAAGTTCTGGGATCTACTCTAGCAAATTAATCAAACCCAAGAAGGTTGGGGAGGGGGCATGTGGGAACCTTTTATTTATAGATGAGGTGCACAGGTGCAGCCTGGACTTGTGATTGGCATCTGAAGTGAAGACAGTCTTGTGGGACTGAGCCTTTAACCTGTGGGACTTGTCACTGTCCCCAGGTAGACAGCGTGGGAATTGAATTGCTTGGGGTGTGTGTGTGGAGGGGCCAGAAATCCCATCCTTGGGGATCGAAGTGTCAACAGCAGATTGAGAGGAGACACAGGAAGTTTTCCTTTCCACCCCCTCACACCGAATCACCTGCTTTTACCCCGGTGTATAGAAGGCAGAACCAGACCAGGGATTGTTGGGGCAGGAGAGGGAGTGGGAGCAGCAGAGCAGGGCAGGGGGTGGCTCCAGGTAGAAGCCACCGGAAGGGGGGCAGGGAGGAGGAAGTACAGCTAGGCCTCACTCTCCTCCCACCCCCTAGTCTCCTGCTGGTGCCTCCCTGAGGGCAAACCCTGCTGGAAGCAAAGGGCAGGGCCTGGGCTTGTGGTCTGGTGGAGGCCGCCTCCCGGGGCACAGAGCTGGACGGACTGAGGAACTAGCACTGCGTGCACATCGCTGGTCATTCCTCGCCAGTCCTCACTGCAGCCAGAGCAAGGGGGCCCGTGCTCCTCCTGGTAAGGAGAGGCCATGAGAGTCTAGGGTATGATTCGCATCCCTGTCCCCACAGCCCTACTCCCAACCCACCCTCCCTCCAGCACCTGGAGGCGACGTTCCAAAAGACACAAATGGCCGCGTCTCTCCACTGGTTCCAACGTTTTGGGGAGACCCCTTCCTCACTGCTCCCCTTAGCAGAGCTGCTGCCGCCCTGCCCTCTCGCTGTGCCCCGCCGGGCCCCGCCTCCTCCCTGTGCTCTACAGTCCCCTCTGCTCCCCCTGACCTCTCCAGTCCCTTCCCTGACCTTCGGACCCAGAGGGTCCTCCATGTTGGCTCCATTTTCTTCATCACCGTGTGCTGTGTCTTCTCAGTCTCTTCCTACCCCCTTGGCTTTAGTAGCCGCTGCATCCCGGCACCCAGAGCAGTGCCTGACGTTAACGAAAAGCCCAGTAAACACTTGTCCCTTCAAACACTGTGAACTCATGGGACATATTTATGGTACTTAAAGCCACAAAGCTAAACAGGACCAGCAGGTGGAGAAGAGGCACAAGGGCCGAGATGAGGAGGAACCAGCGGAAGAGGCGGGAGAGCCAGGTCAATGTGCAAAACAAACAGAAGGTTTATTTAGAAGCAGGAATGCTTTTCAGTATACAGTGCAAAATCTCACGGTCTTGGGAACAACACAAGCTGGGGGGGAACTGAGGCTACATCCAGAAAGGTCTCCTTTTATTTAATTCATTGCTTCCCTGCCCTGCTGGAGTCATGGTGAGGTCGGAGGGCCTCCCGGAACTGTCCACCAGGGGGCAGCCCTGCTCCATGGCTGTGCAGGGACGAAAGTGGGCAGCAACACTGGCCGGTCCAGGCAGCAGAGGCACATCTTGATTCCAGGGTGGGAAGCTTTTCTTGTCTCCATGGTAACAGCTGGACTCCCCGACCCTCTAAAAGTTTGGCTGCAAAGTTCAAGTCCAGTGGAATTTTTCAACAAGGGACCCAAGTACCATGAACCCAAATTGGCTTCTCAAGGAATCTTCTTTCCAGAATCTGGTGAGGCCACACACTTGCCCACCCTCTGCAGGGTGTGGACAAAGGTGTTTGGGGGGAATAGCCTGACTCTTTAATAAGTAAGAACCCTTTGGCAAAAGTTGGCTTCAGCTGCTTCAGGAAGGCCATTCGGCTGGACAACATCAGCTACACAGACCCACAGCACACGACAGGCACACAGCCACACACAGACTGGCTCTCAGCATCTCACATCCACTGGGGATCATGACAGGAACAGTACCAAAGTGGCCCCGCCACTCCCCTGCGGCAGGAACAGCGGGAGGAGGCTGGGGGGGAACAGGGGCACCCCTCGCGAGTCGAGGGAGGAAGGTGGAGGCTGAGGTAGGAGGAGAGAGAGGTGGCTGCAGGCCTCGGTCATCTCCAGGTCTGAAATTCCCTGATAGAAGGTGTGGCCTTGGACCCCACACCAGACAGCGAGGGAGGGGGGTGGGGCTGGCGCTCTGGGTACAGGGTGAAGGTCAAAGGCAGAGAAGGCCAACTCCGAGATTTTGGCTTTGTTGTGTTGTTGGCCTGTTTGTCTGCATGGCACTTACTGTTTTGTTTTGTTTTGTTTTGTTTTGTTTTGTTTTTCATTGCCACACATTAAAATGGGAAGACTTCCTGTTAGAGGTCTGCCGTCCTGCCCAAGGCGGGTCAGGCATCCAGGCCGCCATCCTGGGCCCTCTGGGTGTCTGATTTTCTGTGTACAAGAGGTGGAACTAGCAGGAAGGGCGGGGGGTGCTTCCGAAGGGTCCTTAGCTAACCCAGGGGACCCCCTACCCCGCGCAGAACTATCTGACTGATGACAGCCCCTTCCCCCTCTGGCACCATCCTGCAGTCTCGGCATTGGGGCCGAATCGCTGCCCCTTCTCCATGGAGGACATACAGCGCTCCCCTGCCCCCTCGGGCCCCTCTGGGAGGCAGGATGCTGGGGCCTCCCAGGGAGCCAGAGCCAGGTAGAGCCCAGGGGGAACAACGAGGGCTTCAGAAGCCAAGTTCACAAAACCAGAGAGGCAGAGGCCCCCTGGGCGGCTCAGTGTGCCCAGCCGGCCTTCCGAGGAGAGGCCTACAACTCTCTCCGCCTCTTCCCTCTGCTGGCAGGTGAAAGGCCAAGGCTGTGGAGGCCACTAAAGGAATTTGGCCTAGAAGGAGCGAGAGTGCTGGGGGTGGGGGCCGAGGATGCTCAGAGGTCAGCCCACCTGGGCGGTGCCGCGGCCCACGCCAGCCTGGCTAACTGGACTTCATGCCGGCGTCGGGCACGCCGAGGTTCAGAGGCTTCTCCTCTGAGCTCTGCCGCAGAGTCTCTGGGGCCCCTGCCTGGGACTGAAAAGGGCATTCCTCCTTGGAGAAGGGGACCTGCTCGTCCTTCGGGGAGCCTGCGGGGCTGGAGTCCATGTTCCCTGCTGTGGAGCTGGCCTGGGAGGAGCACTGAGAGCCGTGGTCGGAGCTGCTGCAAACGTTCACAATACAGGTGACGTTGACCTGGGTCCCGTGGCCACCAGGGGAGGACTCTGCAGAAGATGGGAGAGGGCGGTCAGTTGGGGGGGTCTTGGAGCAGGGGCATCCTCGTGGCCTGTCTCCTGCTCAAGAGGCAGGTTAAAATGTGGGGGCGGGGGGAAGCACTGCGCCAGGAGCCGACAGGCCCCGCTTCCAGCCCAGCTCTGCTGTTAGCCTTGTGCAAGTCACTTAAAGTCCCTGTGCCTACTTCCTCATCTGTAAACAAGAATCCGCAGCCCAACTCAACCGATAGATGGGAGGAGCCAATTACAGAAAGCACGTGAAGGTGTTCCAAGAAAAAAACATCCTTCCCACAAAGAATCAAAAAGTGAACAGGGACAGGAAGTGTACATTACAGACTACTGGTCAAACAATCGAGATGAGTCACCTTCCAGGCCTGGCCTCATCCGCAGTACTGGCCACACCAACTATGACAAGCCAAGGACACTGTCATTGACCCACTATTTTCACGCCAAAGAGTCAACATCAAAAGACTATGAATTGCTCCCTTTATTTATTTATTTTAAAAGATTTTACTTGTTTATTTTTGGAGAGGGGAAAGGGAGGGAGAAAGAGAGAAACATCAATGTGTGGTTGCCTCTCATGCACCCCTTACTGGGGACCTGGCCCACAACCCAGGCAGGTGCCCTGCCCTGACCAGGAATCGAAAGGTGCCCCTGGCGCTCAATCCACTGAGCCACACCCGCCAGGGTGCTCCCCCTTTTTAAAAGGAGAGCAATCTCATGGCATTTGTTATCTGGTAAGAACGTAGCGGTAATCAAAGCAATGTGAATAAATACTTAAAAACTATACTCCCAACAAAGATCACCTAAAAAACAAACTGTATTTATTGCTTCTCAACAATTTCTCACTTCTTTACTCACTTCTAGGTGGAGACACTTGGGAGCAGAGTAACATTATCTCCTTTGAGCATGATCTGACCTAGCTGTTTCCTTGACTTTGAGAATGAATCTCATCGGCATCATCTAATACAAGGTCCATATACTCATCAAAACCGATGACACCACGCTCTGCACGTTCACCTGCTCAAAAACCACACCTGAATCCCAGATCTATTTTGCAAGTATATGAAGGTGAGGTTGATGGGCAGCACCATCCCCTTCTGCACTTGTTGGCCCTGGCCAGCGCATGCCATGGCGGAAGCTGACGAAGACCACACTAAGCCGCACGCTGCCTCAGAAAGGGGCTTCTCTCAACTGCTCCGCTATGGACAGTAGGCATGGACCCCGATGGTGTCTTCACTGGCAGCAAATCTTTTCCCTCCACGTAGAGATGCCTCTAAGATTTCATAAATCTGGGGTTCCAGAATGGGGCGGGGTAGTAGTTTGTCCTCATCTCTGAGGCCAGAATGTCTGGAACTTTGCAGCCAGACCATCCTGGGTTCAAATCCCTGCTCTGCCCCCATGAACTTCGCCAAGTCACTTACCCTACGGGACTTCCGTTTTCTCAGCGGTGAAATGGGTATAATGATCCTGTCCACCTCCTCGCAAACAGCGATGACAGTCCTGTTCCCTGCCATCCCTCCAGAGCCTGCGTGGCTCCTGGGGATGGGGTGACCCTCTCGGTGATGCCAGGCAGAAGGCCGGCGCCGGAGACCCAGCCACGTGTGCCGCACCTCACCCTGACCGCAGCCCCCTCTCCCACCCACGCTGCTCCCCCTCGTCTCAGCCCGCAGAGCCAGCACCCCCCCAGCTGCTCAGGCCCGGGGTCTCGCACCCGTCTTCCCCTCACACCCCACTGCCGATCCATCAGCCATGCCAGCCTGGTCCACCTTCAAAAGACACTTCAAGTTCACTACCTCCTGCTACCTACCGCCCACGCGAACCTGCACCCACTGCGACCTGGACCAGGGTGAAGCGCCTCCCCATCTTCTGGCTGCTTCCCCGTCCCTCTGCCCTCCATGCTCCACCAGCAGCCAGAGCGGCCCTTTCCAACTTGGGGGGTCACTTTCTTGGTTGTTCAACAGACCACAGTCCCCACCACAGCCTACAAAGCCCTGCAGAACCTGGCGCCTGCCTGCTCCCGCCCCATCGCCTGCTGCCCTGAGGTCTTGGCTGGGTTCCTTCCTCTCCCTGCAGCTCCTTGAGCCCTCCCAGCCCCGGGGCCTTTGCAGGTGCTGCTCCCTCAGCCTGAAGCTCTTCCCTACTTCCGTGACTCATTCCTTCCTTCCACTCAGGCCTCGGCTCAGAGGCCCCTTCCTCCAAGAAGCTTCCCTGATTTTCCTCTTAAAGACATTCACCTCCTGCCCCATCCCTCACTCCTTCCTATGTCCCTCCCTCCCTCTGCTATGCTTTCGCAGGCCCTGGCTCCTCCCACGTGCAGCCCATTTCTTGGGGCACTCATTCGTGTCCCCCGACCAGGCCCTGAACCCAAGAGGACAGGAACTATTCCCAGCTGGGTCCCTAGTGCCTATAACAGACATGTGCTGAATAAAGAAAAACCAGCTCACAGCTGTGTTTTGTTCTTGTGGGTGGTCATGTTTTTAAGTGAATTGGCTGCCAACGTGTACAATTCAGGAATTTACACTTTAAACATCTGGCTTTACGGCTGCCTCTGGGAGCCAGGTGAGGGAGATTGGCCAGGAAGGACCCGCACACCTGAGTGCAACTGGCGGGAAGGGCTTCAGGCGCAGGTTTGCCACGCCCCCGGCCTTCCCACCCGCCCTCTGCGGGCATCTGCGTCTCCTCACTAGCCAGTGAGGGACAAGCCAGGAGATGGATGTAAGGGTCTGTACATTCCAAAACCCCTCAGAGAGTAATCGCTGCTGGTACCGCGGGGACCTGCTGAGTCTGCAGAGCACCAGCAGGACTGGCTGATGATCTTCCAGTCCTTCCCCAGCCCAGCTCCCCAGCTCTAATGGATCCAGACGAGGTCGGAGCTGGTGAGCTGCTCTCAGAACAACCCCAAAGAGGCCAGCGGGAGGGGGGCTGAAATCATGGGCCAGAAGGAAATTTCCACCCCGAGCCTCCACAGCACCCAAATGTCACCCGAAGTCACTATGGCCTTTGCACACCGCGAATGAGACATTGTGGGGGCGGGCAAGGAGACCGCAACAGGACACAGCCCATGGTGGCAAGAGGTGGCAAGAGGTGGCAAGGTGGCGGTGGGGGCGGGGGGGCACAGAGGCCAGACAGGCAGGAAGGGAAGGAACACAGAAGGGGCAGAGGGTAGGAGCGGTGGGCAGGTGCAGTCAGGGGGCCCCCGGGGTGGGGCACGGAGGGAGCCACACCAGGCCGGCTGTGGACCAGGTATCGCTAAAGGTTGGAAAGGTGAATCCAAAAGTTGGACGAAGACCAAGGGTTATATTTGCAGCTCATTCATTCATTCAACAAGCATTTAGGGCTGCCTGCTATATTCCAGACACGGACCAAGCCCCCCTCGGGGAGTTTGCAGGAGAGGGGGCCACTAAGAGGGCACCGCATGAGAGGCCCGGCTGGGATGAGGCAGCACGGTGAGCTGCCTCGTTCCTGGGGGCAGTCCAGGGAGGCAGCACCCACGAGTCAGGTGACAGGGAGGAAGGTGTGGCAGCCCTGCTAAGGCGGTGCCATGGCCTGTCCCTGGGGGAGGAAACTGAGGCTCAGATTCTCACGGCACCAGAGCAGCCGGGAGGGCACCTAGAAATGACCCAAGTCCGCTGTCATTCTCTGGGTGAGCGGGGGAGAGGCAGGCCAGCAGACTTGACCTCTCACTACCGAACACACCCAAAGATGCTCCAGGCTTTCTGGGGGACCCCTGCAGAGGCGCCCCCCAGCATGGGCACTGGAGATGCCCACCAGGGTGACACCTTCCAAATCCAGGGAAAAATGCAGATGCGTAAAGGGGGCAGGGGATTCTTCAGACCCCACACCCAATCCTGGGGCCTCCGGCCCAAAGGACCCCGGCAACGAGCCACAGCGAGTGGAGCCCTGGAGGTCCCACTGGTCCACACAGCTTTCTGCCCCAGGACCCAGGGTGATGCCTGGCTCTTCCTTTACTAGCCACATGCCCTTGAAAAAGCTGTTTAACCTCTCCGGGCCTCAGTTTCCTTGTCTATAAAATATAATCGATATTAATATAATGCTATATTACCTAATTCTAAAGCAATATTATATAATAATTATGTAACACTATGCCATTAATATTAATACTAATCTACATTAGATTCATAACACAAGGAAACCCCCTGCCTGGATATCCGACTCGAAGGACAAGTGGGGATTGTCTAGAAGGAAGGGTATTCCTGGTGAAAGAACCCACGTGGGCAAAGGCCGGGGCGGGGGGTAGCCGGCGGGGTTCGGAGGATGGAAAGAACCTTGTGGCTCAGCGCTGCACCTGAGGGTGGTAGGGAGGTGTGGCTGAAGGACGTGCCAAGGTTCTCGGGCCGGGCTTCGAAGGCCCTGCTCGGAGCTCAGGCCTGTCCTGCAGGGGAGGCCCAGGAGGGGATGGATCAGGCAGAAACCGGGAAGAAACATGAAGAGGGGAGGAAGCCAGATGGGCTCCCGCCTCTTACCTGAGCTGCCGGAGCTGGCCCGGGCCTCCCCAGACCCATGGGCCTGGTCCCTGCCCGGTGCCTGTGGTGGGTTGCTGGAGGGTGCCCTCCTGTCCGCGCCGCTGGCCGAGCTCTCCAGGGAGCTGCTGCTGGAGCTTGGCGCCGTGGTCAGCAGGTGCTGCTGTTCGGAGCCCGGGGCATCCTGGGCCTTCTCAGCAGGCAGGTGAGGCTGGATGGGGAGGGGAGGAGACACAGAGGTCAGGCCATCAGCCGGCTCCTCCCCCTTCCGCCTTCTCGTTACCATCCACACCCCACGCCATGAGCACTTCACAGTTTACATCACACTTCTGCCCACAGCACACATTCTTTCCACACACAACGTGTCAGGACGTGTGGTTCTCTGTGGTTTCTGTGATTAGCCTCTGGCTGCCCTCCTGGAGCGTGAGCCATCTTTGGGCAGGGTGCCAGGTGGCCCTGTTCACCAAATACTCCTGCAGGGGGGGCGGGGGGGGCAGGATTTTTATCCTCATTTTGTAGTAGGAAACAGAGGCCCAGGGAAGAAGAGTGACTCGCCTAACGTCACCTCCGCCAGCACAGGGTGATGTGGCTCAGCCTAGCAGCCTAGAACAGGGACCCTGGAGCCAGACATGGAGGTGCAAGTCATGGCTCCATCACTCATTAGCTGTGTGACCTCAGGCGGGTTCCTCAGCCTCTCTGTGCCTCCATTTTTCATCTACAAAGGGAAAATAAAACCCCACTTCCCAGGGTTACTGGGAAGATCAAATGGCTGAGCATTTGGCAAGTGCTCAACCAATTCCCACTCTATAGGAAGCTCCACACAAGAGCTGATTAAGTCAAAGGTATGCAAACTGCTGCCGTGGGCTCACTCTGGCCGGCCACTGTTTCTGTACAGGCTGCAAGCTAAGAATGGTTTTCACATTTTTTTAAATGAGTTTTTTTAAAGTTTTTTTGTTTAGTTTTGTTTTGTTTTTAGAGAGGGGAAGGGAGAAAGAGAGGGAAACATCAATGTGTGGTTGCCTCTCATGCGCCCCTGTTGGGGACCTGGCCCGCAACCCCGCAACTGGGAATCAAACCAGCGACCCTCTGGTTCACACGCCAGCACTCAATCCACTGAGCACCAGCCAGGGCAGTTTTTACATTTTGAAATGGTTGAAAAAATTGTAAAGACTAGTATTTTGTAACGTAAAATTATGTGAAGTGCAAATGTTAGTGTCCATAAATACAGTTTTACTGGACGACAGCCTCTCCCATTTGTTTATATATCGTCTGTGGCTGCTTTTTCCCCAAAACAATGGCAGTTGGAGTAGCTGTGACAGAGACCTAGGATCCAAAAGCCGACAGTACTTACTGCCTGGCCCTTTGCAGAAGAAGTTTGCTGGCCCTGGTGTTACATCAGTAACCCCATGCAGACAGCACCTTTATTTAGGGCCCTTCCCAGAGTCCATCCCCCAGGCTGCTCTGTGACTCCCCCCAATGCCTTCTTCTTATGGAACATAAACAACAACAACAACAATAATAATACACGAGCTTGCATGTCATCCAATGTTAAGCACTGCGCTGGTGTCCTTCCAAGACACTATCTATAGTGATCCTTCCGACAGCCAAGTGTCACCCTCGCTTTGCAGGTATGGAAACTGAGGCCTAGAGGGGTTGAGTTACTTGCCCAAGGCTACACAGCGAGGACATGGTAGAGACGGGTTATAACCCATGATGCCTTTCCTGGGTGTGTGGTGCTCTGGCTCTAGAGGCTCAAGGCTCAAGACAGGTGCCCGTTTCCAGGCATCATGCTGGGAAGCACTTAGGAATTCCACTCCGAGGCTGTTGCCTGTCCACATGCACCGACTGGGCACACAAGCCCCTGCCTTGGGGCCCCGGGGGACTGTGGGACTGTGGGGTCCCGGGAGGAAAGGAGATAAAAGGGACCACATTCTCACCCTCTGCCCAGGAGGAGAGGGTAAAATGAGAACAGAGGTGAGAGAAGGGCTGCTGAGCCACACCTTAGCGTGGCAGGCGGAGGCGAGGGTCAGAGGGTGAGCCGCTGCTATGGGACAGGGGGCACAGGCCTGGTAGACCCCCTCCCCGGGGAAGGCTGAGACCCCAACTGACCACTCCAGACGCTCCAGAAGGAGTTACAGTTCCAGCTGTGCTCTAAGTGGAGCACCTGATCCTTCCCTGGACTGGCCAATCGCCACCGTACCCCCCCCCAGGCCCACCCACCCGGGCTGTGGTCTCCCAACACCTGAGCCTCGAGGAGCCCTCCACATCCTGAGGCCTCTTCCTCTGGCTGGAAGGAACCTTCCCAAGCAATCCCTGTGAGGCCACGGAGGCCCAGAGAGGGGGTGTCCCCGCTCGGCGTCACAGAGCTGGTCCATGGGAGGGGCGGGACCAGCTCAGATCAGTGTTCCAGAGCCGCTGACTTGCCACTGTGTCCTGCCTCCCTGGCTCACCCCGCTTCCCCAGCGTTGAAGGGAGGGGGCATCTCTAGATTTCCAATTCGTGCTGCACTTGCCCAGGTGGTCCGACTTTGGCCACCGGACCTCACTCCCAGCCCTGCTTTGAACGTGGTCAGACAAGGGGAAGGAAAAGGAGAAGCATCCAAAGGTCATTCCTCACAACCCCTAGAGAGGGGGTTTTCATACTTCTCTGCTGGCAGCCAGGGCCGCGTGGAACAAAACCTCCAAAGGTCAGAGCCCGCCTCCCTCCTGCAAACTCAGAACTTGCGAAGTTCAGACAGGCTCTGAGTGGGGCAGATAAATCCTGAATCTTGTCTCTTGGGCTGGGATCCCAGTGAGGGTACTGAGGGGGTTCATATGAAAAACAGGATCCCAGCCAGCCCGCCCCTTCCCACCTCCCAGCCCCTCAGGGTCCAGCCCTGCCACACACAGACGCAGAGACCCTGGCAGACCCACCAGCCAGGTCCTCCGGACACAGGGTCCGTGTCTGCCTGCCTGTGCAAGTGTGTGTCCCTGAGGCTCACACACCTGTATGTACAGGGGTGAGGGTATGTGAAGTGCACATACACGTGTCTATGGGGGTGCGTGTGTGCACGTTCTGCAAGAGGTGCCATTAACATGTGTGCTCAGGGTGGTGAAGAGAGGCTCTCCTAGGTTTGTGCCCCAGGCCACTCATCTTGGCTGTGTGACCTTGGGAAAGTAACTTAACTTCTCTGAAACCAAGTTTGCTGGGCCATGAAACTGGAGCAATAATCTTACCGTCGGTGTCATAGCATGGCTGTGAGAATAAACAATGCTCAGAACTGCACCTGGTACACGTTCAGAGCCTCATAAATGCTCCCTCTCATTGTTAAACGTGAGCACGTGCATGAGTGTGGGGGGGGGCCAACTGTGAGTGAGCTCACACGTGAATATGCTGATCTTTCCTTAAAAAGAAGGAAGCCACTGTCCCAGCATGCCTTGCAGTTACTTCTGCAGTGGGAGGGACCGGGCAGGGCTGAGTCACCGCACCCTCCACCCCAGCGGCCTGGGGAGCCCCACAGCAGGGCCCGCCGCCAGCCAGAGGAGGAGCGGAGCAGGACGCGGGCTAAGCCCGGGGGTGGGAGCCTGGGGGCTGACGGGCATCGGGGACAGTGACCAGCTTCTGAGGGCGGGCCCTGCTGGGGGCTGAAGGTGCGTGGAGCAGCCTTGAGTGTCCAGCCTGCCCAAACCTGCAGATTCCAACTGAGGTTCAAACCTGGGCTCTGTCACTTACTGAGTGGCCTGACCTCCGACAGGTAACAGAGCCTCCCTGAGTCTGTTTCCTCCTCTGTAAAATGGGAGTTATCGTACTGTGTACCTCACAGGGCTGTGTGGGGATGCAGTCAGTGCCACAGACCCTGGCCCGGGGCTCAGCCAGTGGGGCCCGCCCGGCGGGGCGGGGGCTCGGTGGGAGCGCGGTCCCGTAAACCAAAAGGTTGCCAGTTTGATTCCCGGTCAGGGCACGTGCCTGGGTTGCAGGTTCAGTCCCCAGACAAGATACGTGTGAAAGGCAACCAATCAGTATTTCTCTCCCCATTTCTTCCCTCCTCTCTAAAATCAATGAGCATGTGAAATCAATGGGCAAGTCCTGGGGCGAGGATGAAAAAGAGTAGTTGAGTTGCTCACACTCAGTGAAGGGAAAGAGGATGTAGAGGCTGCTGGGCCACAACTGAGACATCTTTACTGCCCCGAGTATTGGGGAACAGCTGGTTGGGGGCAGGGCGGGGCGGAAGGGGGAGCCTGGAGGGCAGCAGAAGCCAGAAAAAGGAAGGAGTGGCATTCGCACCCCGGGGAATAAAAAACAGTCTGAAGTCCCAAACCAGTGTTCACATCTGCTGAAATACTGCAGAGCAGGTCCAGAGACATGGTGTTGTGTGACCTGAGGCAAGTCGCTCACTCTCGCTGTCCCTCTTTGCTTGTCAGCAAAATCAGGACGTGAAATCAGTCCCTGGTCCCCACCAGGTCCAAAGCCCTGTGTAAACCTCACTGAGCCACCCAGGGCTGAGCTGTTTCCTAGCACTGTGGTTCTCAGCTGGCAATGTCTCGGGACATTTTTGGTTGTCACCCGCTGGAGGCAGTGCTAGTGGCATCTAGTGGGGAGAGGCCAGTGATACTGCTGAACAGCCTGTGAGGCACAGGACAGCCCCCAGTGACAGGATGATCGGGCCCCAAGTATCAATGGCGCTGACGCTGAGAAACCCTGCCCTCGCAGAACGGGAGGATATGGAGGGAGCCCCTGTTTCCTCACCTGTAAAAGTGGGTAAAAACCTTGCCCTGCCTACCAGATACAGGAGTGTAGCTGCCACCATGTACTGGCTCACCCCGCACCCATTTCTAATCCCTCTCCCTTGTCTTCTTCCACCACGGAGGCTTGGAAAGCAAAGTACTTCCTTTCCTGGCCTCCCTTGCAGCTAGGGGTGGTCACATGATACCATTCAGGCCAATGAGACAAAAGGAGAAGTCTGCCCAGGGCTTTTGGGAGAGCATCTGATTTCCTGATAGAAGGCACCATGGCTTCCCTGGCCGTTCTTCCCACCTCAAACCCAAGGACACAGGAAGTGATGACTACCCTCTCATGACCCGAAGCCGCAAGCAAGGGAACAAAACCAACGCACCAAAGACGGCAGAGCCCAGGGATGCAACACCTCTCCAAAGGATGCAACAGAACTCTTCTAGCAGCCATCAGGCCTCGCTCTCTTTGTATGTGAGAAAGGTAAAGCCCTTTTGTTTTAAGTAAACCTTAAGGTTTTGGTTACTTGTAGCCAAATGCCTTCCTGATGTAGTATGGATAAAATACTATGTCAGCACTGTGTTCCTAGCAAAAGTCCTTCACAGACCCTACTTTACAAAAAGGAGCTGCGGCGAACTGCTTCGGATGAATTTGAGGGACTCAGGGCCTGGCCCCCTAGGCTCCAACTCAACCCCAGGGACAATCCCCAGGGCCTTCTGTGGAACGCCAGGGGTACCCTGGTGCTCAGTTTGAAAACCACTGCTCTTTGAGGAAGTGCTTCGTAAGCACCACAGAGATGCGGAGAACTGTTGCCCGCTGAGTGAATGGCACAGCCCCGGAGCAGGACGGTCACCATTTAATGGTGAGGAAACAGAGCCACAAGCCACTTCATGACTCCCTAAGGTCACACCACAGGTCCACGACCACATGCTTGCCACCGATACCACGAGCCCCCCTGTTCCTTGATGGGGCGTTTCACACTCAGTCTCTTTATTAGCCCACGGAGGGCAGCCTAAGCTCCAAGGACAGACCCTGGCTGGCCCTTCCTCAGGCTCCCAGGGCTCTGCACAGCGCCTGCCACTGGACCCCGGGGAGGAGGAGGGGGAGACAGAGGGGCACTCACCACCATGGCTTCTCCCTGCAGGCAGAAGGGCTTCTCTGCAAAGAGGGGAGAGGGGACAAGTCAGGGACAGTGACTTCCTCCGGCCACAGCTGATCTAACTGGGCGGGTAACATGGGGCCCAGGCAGAAGCAGCAGGAGTAGACCCAGCCGTCGGGACAACAATTATCTACCAGACCGGGCGTAGAAAGTCCTCACACCCAGCTCTCCAGCTGGATCAATATTGTTCCACTCCCCTCCCCCACCCCCTACCATTTTCCAACCACCCCCCCTTTACGCATGCCACGCCCTCTGCTTAGCATGCCCTTCCTTTCCCCGCACACATCCCTCCCTCCAACTCTTCCCTAGCTCAAATGCCACCCGCTCCAGAAGGCCCGACTCCCCCAGGATTCCCCAATAAGAATCCTGGACTCCCACCCCCCTGGACAGCCCCGACGGAGTCTTGCCCTTCAGCAGATAAGTAAGTGGAAGCGCCCTCGGCCCCAAGCTCTACGCTCCTGCAGGGTCTACAGTGCCCAGCTCCGCCTGCCTCCCGGGAGGCGCCCCAGCAAAGCTCCCTGACCAGAGGGATAAAGGGAAAAGGGAATGGAATCTTACTTTTCTTCTGAGTCATGATGAAACAGTTCACAACCACTATTAGTAGCAGTCCCAAGGCTGTCATACCCACGATCAGCCCTAGAAGGAAAAGAGACGCTCAGAAAACAGCTGCAGAGAGCACACTCCAATGCGCCAGGTGCCTGGTTGTCACCGGGGAGGGGCAAACCCGGTCCTGAGGCCTCAGATCAATTACAAAACAAACAGAGCAAAAACCATGCTGAACAAAGCACGTCTGCAGACCACGCCAGTTTGAGACTTCTGGCCTGATGTCATCCTGACCCCAGGTGGGAAGCCCATGAGGAAGTGTGACCCAGCCTACGCTGCCTTCACAGCCCAATGGGTTCATCAGGAAATGAACAACCAGGAGACCATCTCCACTTTCGGGTAAAATGCTAAGCCCACCTCTCCCAACCCAGGGGCGCTCAGTAACAGTACCGGGTCTTGGGGATGACAAGTCTCGCCGCCACGTGTCCCAGGGCAGAATACATCCAGCCCGCAGCAGGCTCTCAGTACATCTCTGAGGTAGGAGGGAGGAGGAGGGAAGGGGCCCTCTCATGACTTACCAATTGGAAGAGAGATATTCCCCGTGGTGATCCCTTCCGTCGGGGGACTTGGGACCACCGGGGACAGGATGGAGGGGCTTGGAGCCGCGCTGGACCCTGGAGTTGGCTCCGTGTGTGGGGACCTCGTGGGCCCTGGCCGGGGCACGAGGGCTAAGCCTGGCTCCCTTGTCTTGGCGGGGAGATCAGATGTGCAGACCGCATCCCGGCTTGCGTTGCCAGGGATGGCCGTCGACTCACAGCTGGGGGAGGAGAGGACTTGGTCAGCGGGCAGCAGAGGACGGGATGGCTGGGCTCACCCGTGGGAGGCAGGGCAGCGAGCAAGGGCCCCTGCAGCCGGGGTGGGGGCGTGAGTACGTGCCTGTCCTCTTTTACGGCTGCCCCTTCCTGTGCTCCCCGATACCCCTCTCCTCATGCTCCCCACTCAGTCTTGACTTCCGGGGCAAGGCTACTGTTTACCGCGCTATCTGTCCTGGAACCCCCCCCACCGTTAGATTCACCCGCCCTGGCACTGAACAGAGCTCGGGCAATGCCTCAACCCAAGGGAGTGAGTGAGGGATGCCAGGCACCAGGGCACAGCCACTCTGTGCTTATACAGCGCGTCCCTCCATCCGCCAGGGATAGTCCCTCCCCGCTCCCCCGGAACGGAAGGACTTAGCCACTCACGTCCGGTGGGGCCTGCAAGGATCCGTGGATGACGTTGTGTCAGAGAATGTCCCTGGGGCACAGGGAGCACACATCACATTTGACGTTGCGGTTCCTTCAAAAGAAAAAAAATTGCAAGCTGTCACCAACTCAGATGCTCCGTGGACCAGGTGGGCCTTCGCACTGGAGACCGAGGGGAGGGCTGAGGTGCTCACGGACCTCTGTCTACACCTCTAACTCTGAAAACACACACACAGCTGGGGAATTCGTTCTTTAAGCAATTCTAGTGACTTCCTGGTCTCCAGGGTTACACACGGGTTCATCTTCCTGTGGCACCACCTTGTTTCCCAGTGGTTTAGGGACGAATCTGATGCATCTCGGACCCCCAGGGCCCAGCCCACAGTGCGTGCCTAACCTAGGGAGCGCTGCAGGAAAGGATGAACAGGGGACAGGTGGGCCGGCCGCCAGTGACGACGTTCCCAGGCTGAGCTGACGAGCCGATGCCTGTGAAGGAGAGACCCAAGGGGGTCCCCCAGGCCCGCTGCCCAGGCCCCTACCTGGCGTGACGACACCGAAGCCGGGGTAGCACTTGCGCTGTTCCATGCACAGCCGGCAGCCCTGCTGACTCGGAAGCATGCAGTACCAGCCGGGCCTGCAGCTGCACACGCGGTCCTGTTCCCGGGTGCAGGCCTGGGTCTCCACCTGGCCTGGGGGTGTGGAGGCAGCCCAGGGTCATTCCTGCCTCCCCAGCCTGCCCACCGCTGGACCACCCTGCCCTCTCAGCCGGCCCGCCACCCACAGAGAGCTCTGATCTCCAGCAGGCCAGTGGGCCTCCCCCCGCAGCAAGATGCGAAAAGAACATTGGCCACAGAGTCCCAAGGCCTGAAGTCTGGGTCCAGCTCCGCAGCATGGGTAAGACACAACTTCCTCAACTCGAAAATGGGCACAGTTTTCCCACCGCTGCTCCTGGCCTGCCAGCCCCAGGGGGCTATTTAAGAGGAGTCGGCGAGAGTAGATGAAAACACCACTGATAAACTGTAAAGAACGGTACCCATGCAACCGCATGCCTGGGGGCATGGAAATACCGGGTCTGGGGGGATCCCAGCCAGCCTTCAACAAGGGGCTGGAATGCACGGTGCCCAGGGCAGGGTGCCTGGGACCACCCGTCCCCCCGGGGCTACTCACCAGGGCTGCAGCGGGAGCCACAGCTCAAGCACTCAGGGACCCAGTTCCAGATCTGGGTGTACGTGCTCTCCTCGCAAGGGGAACACACTGTATCTGAGGTAGCGGTGCAGAGGAATCGCACATGGTAGCCTGAGGAAGTAAGGGCCAGAGGTCTCAGGGGGGCGGGGCTTCTGCCCAGGCACAGGGCTCACCCACTGTTCCCCAGACCCCCAGGGTTCTGTAGTCTAGTAGCAAAGGCTCTTCGATGGGGCTCCAGCTCCTCCACTGACTCCTCTCACATTAGCAAGTGCCAGCTGTCACTCAATCTCACAGCCTCCACCGCTCATAAAACATCTTCCCCTCTGCTCTTTCCAGATGCCTACAATTCAGCCACTAGAACTGCCTGTTGTTAGTCAATCACACTTTAGTGTGAACTGGTTTGCCAGCCCCTTTGTCTTTATCCGCCTGGGAGTATACACTGCGGGGGGGGGGGGGGGGCGGGCAGGAAGGAAGAAGGAATGTAGCATAGTTTCTTAGCACTGCCCAGAGAGGCCTACCAGGGGGGTAGAAGAATACCAAGGCAAACCTTCAAGGAGTTCCTCTTCTGAGCCCTGAGCCCTATGCTGCCATAGTCACTGCTGGGCTAATCCAGCAAATTCTTACAAAGACCCTGCTGTTTAATAGGAGAAAGAAAAGTCATGTCCCCTGGAGTCTCTTGAAATGGCTGTGGGAGGCGATAGGTATGTCTGTGCCTGCCCACATCTCAGGCTGATGGCTCAAGGCCCTCCAACGGCTCCTTGGATCCTGCAGAATAAAATCTAAACTCCTAACCACCACCCCTGCTTACTCACTCTGAGCCACACATTGGCCTTGCTGCTCCTTGAGTTCACCAAACAGGCTCCTGCCTCAGGGCCTTTGCACTTGCTGTGGCTCCTGCTGGGCACGCTGCTCCCTGAACACTCACATGACTCCCTCCCTCCCTCCCCTCCTGAGTGTCTCTGCCCGAGCGTCAGCCCTCAGACAGGCCTTCCCTGACCACTCTGTTAAACACAGTATGTCCTTCGCCATCGGTCTCCATCTGCCTTCGCTGGCCTCCTTTTCTTCAAAGCACTTAATCTCTGATAGGATCACACATCTATTTCCTCTATTTGTCAGTCCCTCTAGTAAAATGTAAAATCCAGGAGGGCGAGGATGTTGTCTGCCCTGCTCTCTATTGCATCCCCAGCACTTAGAACAGTACTGGACACGTAACAGACGCTTTATCAATATTATAGAAATGATGTATAAACAAGTGAATAACTGGGCATTGAGCTACGCAGGTCTCCCAACGCAGGTTAAGCCTCAGGTCCACCATGTGTGAAACAGGTTGGCATTCACTGATTCAGTCAGATATGTACTGAGCACACAGTATGGGACAGGCATGGTGCCCGGTGCTCAGGAGTCAGTGGAAAGCAAGCCCGGTCCCTGTCCTAGAGGAACACGCAGTGGGAGTGACAAAAAGAGGAGCCAGGATAGCACAGGATGAAAAGAGCTGCTGCCGTGGGAGACACCAGAGACTATGGGGAACTCAAAGGAGGAACCAGATCTGGCCAGGCAGTATAGGCAGGCTTCCTGGAGGAGGGGGGCACCTAAGCTGAGCTCATAACAGTTAGGTAGGAGTTTACCAGGGAAAGGGAGTTGGGAAGAGGGAACGGTGTGTGCAAAGGCGAGAAGAGGCCCTTAGAAGGAGTTCAGTAAGAATCGAAAGCCGTGACCCGGCCTACCGCCAACCCGCATTCACACACTCCCTCCACGGCACCAGCCCCCAGAGGGACCGCGCCGGCCTGAGGTCGGGGGTCCGGGCCCGTCCCTCACCGGGAGGACACATGCTGCAGCACATATTGGTCCTCTTGTCTTGGTATTCTCTCGGCTGGCACGAGCTTCCAGGCTCCGGGATATAGGGGGTGAGCGTGACCTGGGAGGGAGAAGGACGGTCATCAGCTTGGCCACGCCTGACACCCAGATCCCCATCCTACGCCCACATGTTTGGCTCTCTCCCTGCTGGGGCTTCCCTTACGGATGGACAAAGGACACGGGGACTTCTCCCTTTGGGTGGGGGGGATGGCGGAGGTAGGAGAAAGAGGCCCTGCCCCTCCTCCTTCCTCAGCGCAGCACACTCAGGTCTGCAGGCAGCGACACAGAGCCTGCTGGCCGGCCGGTGAGACTGGCTCCGACACTACCCGGGGCGGATGTACAGCCCTTCAAGCTGTCCCAAAGGCAGTGGCCTCAGTCACAAGGACCCACGGTGGTCAGCACAGTGGGGCCCTCTGCTGAGGATGCCTCCCCTCCCCACTTCCCGCACCTGGGAATTGGCCCCTTCCTCCTTCCAACCAACTGCTGCCTCCTCTGGGAAGCCCTCCTGGACTCCCCCAGGTTGACTCAGGCTCCTCCTCCTCTGCGTTCTCTCTGAATGCTGGCCAGAGTCCTTCAAACCATCATCTCCTTGTGCTGAAATGGGGCACCTACTTGTCCTCCCCTCTTGCATGGGTACACATGCACACATACCCTCGCCTACAACACACAGGCAGAAATGACGGCCTCATCGTCTAGACCCTCGGTTCCAACACGCAGCCCAGGCAGAGCTGGAGCTCAGCAGATGTGTATGTCAATGACAGTGCTTACAACAGCGACCATTTCCTGCGCACTGACAGGGTGCCAGGTGTTGTTGTAAGAGCTCCAGGTGCTCTGTCAGTGGGTGTGGCTGCACCCACCCAGATGCCCTATACCCACAGGGCACCCATGCCCCCAGCTGTGGTGAGTGTCCCCCGAGAGCGACCCCCAGCCTCTGGGTGGGTCAGAGGCCGTGGGAGGGTTCATGCTCCACTCCCTGCTCCATCTCGTTCCCCATCCCACACCTTGAAGTCGTGACTGCACAGCTGGGCCCTTCACTGGCCCCTGTACTGAGAACAGGCCAACAGGGAAACCCTGCGGGCCCTCCCACTTGGCCTGGCTGGCAGTCCCAGGCCCATCCTGGCATCTCGACAACGCCCAAGGCCTGGCGTTTCTGGGGGCCCCACAATCTGCGGCTCACCCCCCCGCCCCCGGCCAAGCTGCCTTCTCCACCTGGAACAGCCTCTTGCTTCATCCGGCAAAGTTCCACTCGTCCCTTCTGCCAGTGGCCTCCTCCTGCCCACGCCCCACCCTGGACAGTCAACCACTGGTGCCCCGGATCCTGACCTTCCTCCCTCAGGGCTCCTGGCACGCAGGGCTGTGCCCCCACTAAACAGGCACCCTCTGAGGCTGCCGGCTGGGGGTAACCCTGCTGCCGCCCAGAGCCTGGCATGTGGTAGGTGCTCAGGGTCCCTAATCCAGGCGGCAGGCTTCCTGACAATGTTGTTTCCCAGAGTCGTCCCACCCTGCACCAGGACCCTGAAGCCCAAACATAGGAGCACCTGCCCTGCTGGCCGGCCCCGGAAGCCCTTTCCTCACCCAGCCCAGGGCCCAGGCCCTGTCCCCAGGAGGTCGGCGCTAGACTTCCGGGGGTGGGAGAGATGCAGATGGCTGGCGAGGGAGGTGGGGACCATCCTGCATAACACAGAGTCTAGAAAGATAACTTCCATCCCCATCTGGACTGTGACCTCACGTGCCCATGGCCACACACGTGTGCACATGCATGCACACACATGCACACACACTCCCTCCCAGTCCTTTCCCCTCCCGTCTGGCTGCCAGGCACCTAAAGGAAAGGGAAAGCTAGGCTCCTTCTCAGGGCTCCTCCCCATTGTGGGCAGGGCTCACTGCCAGTGTCACGAGCACCTGCAGGGGGTGCCTGGTACTAATGCCGACTCCTCCCCACAACAGACAGGATAAAAGAAGCTCAAGGGTGGGCTCAGGAAGCTGTCCTGTTCAAAAAGAAAAGCAAAAGGTGCTGAACACACCTGATTATCTGGCACCACCAGAGACAGTAAGGTGACCTGGGGAGGGGCACATGGAGGGGACCCGGTGATCAAAGGCGGGGCAGCCCCCCTGCCACCAGAGAAACCGCACCTTCTCAGCTCCCTTCCCAGGCACTGTGGTAGAGGAGGGCCTGTCCCCCGACAGAATGGGCCCCAAGGGCCGGGCTGTGCTTCGGTTGTGGAGCTGCCTGCCCCTCAGAGAGGGTGCCCGAGGGCAGGGAGGGGCCATGTGGGGAGGGGGCGCGGGGGCACAGGTCTCGGGGACCCTGCATCCTCAGAGCACCCCACCGTAACTAGGGGAGCCCCGCATTGGTGTGGTGGCTCCCAGCATGCAGCCCAGGGGGGCCTGCCCGGCTGGAGGAGGATTTCCTGTCAGGCCCACAGGGCCTGATGGGAAAGGGCGCTGCCTCGGCCAAGGGCGGGGGAGGGGGCTCCCTCCCTCCAGCTACCGCCCAGGGCTCCTGGCCCAGGCCTGCAGCTGGACCCTTGGGCCCCCAGGCCTCTGCCCGAGGCCTCCCCGCAGCCTCCCTCAGGGCCTTTTCCTGTCTGAGTCTTGCTCTGAGGGCCCTTCCCCACACTTCCTCCTGCTGCTGCGTGACGGGGGTCGGCCCTCCCTTGAGCAATTTCTCGGACTATTTATCCTCTTGGACAGAAAAAAAAAAAAAAATGCAGCCCTGTCATGGCTAAACTATGAGGAACAGAAAGCCCCTTGCTGAGCAGGACAAAAGGTCACCCCCTCCACTCGCAGGGCTCCCCACAGCACAGGCGAACCAAGGCTGGGGGAGCCGGGCCTCAGGTCCCCGCAGGGCCACACATGCCGGGGGTCCCTGGAGGTCCCCGGGACGTGGGGGGCAGCTTCTGGGAAACCAGGGTGATGGGAGCTTGGATTCCCGGGGGCTTTGTGGGGGAGGCTCAGGTAGGTGCCCCCCCCCCCGAATGCTGACAGACAGTTTAGAAAGAGGAACTAAACTGGATAGTTGTTGATTCATTCAGCACGTTTACCAGACCCAAGCTTTCAAAATACAGAGCCCACGAGAAAACTTGGAAATCACTGAGGGGCGTCAGCCACCTCTGTAACTGGTGGGCCCCCTGTGACCCAGGGGTTGGGGGACAGGAGAAGGCAGATGATAGAGAGGGAGACAGATAGGTGATAGGTGGAAGGAACGAAGGTGAAAAGGAAGGGAAAAGGGAGGGACGGAGCGAAGGAGGAAGGAAGGACCATCTCATGTCCAGTTTGTGAGGCAGGTCTGATTGAGCCCATTTCACAGATGAGGAAATGGATGGAGAAAGAAGCAAAGCCACCTCCTTGTCCCCAAAGGCCCTGGGCCACGGCAGTGGCAGGCTGCGGGGGGGGGGGGGGGCTGGCACCCCAGGCGGCCACCACGGCCCACGCCTCAGCCAGCCCAGGCCACCAGGCTGCCTCACACCAGCGCCTGCGGCCCCATTTCCTCTCTCAACAGGGGCCTCACCCTCCTCTGACCGGAGGTGTCTACACTGAGTGATGGCCCTTCAGGGAGGAAGAAAAACATTAGGATACTTGTTAAGCACCTACCATAGGCCAGGCAGAGCTGCAGGCACTGTACAGAATCCCACTTCCCCCCCCCAAAAAAAAAGTCCGTGGGCATGTGCCCATTTCATAGCTCAGGGAGGCCTGGTCACCGGCCTGGGTTCACCCAGGAACGAGGAGGTGGAGCAGGGACAGGACTGTCCCCCTGGCCCCCCTGGAGGAATCTGGTCACCTCCTCAGGACAGCTGTGGGAGCAGTTCCCGGGGCCCGCCCTCCGCCCTCCGCCCGCGTCCCTGAATCACCTCAACGCCGCCAGCCCCCGTCCTCTGCTTCTGTGCCAAGCAGGGACTGGGGCGCTGGCTCACACGGACACACATGCTCTTTTTCTCACCCGGGAGCATGTGCTCTCTCACACACGCGCGCGCGTGCTCTCTCTCTCTCTCTCTCTTTCTCTCACACACACACACACACACACACACACACACAATGCAGGTAACCGGTCTTAGGCCAACACGCTGGGGCCTCCGCTCTGACTGGGATTCCCAGGACACCCCCCAGGACCCTCAGAACGAGCCGGCAGGGACATTCGGCGCCTAAGGCCCCGCTCTCCCCAGAGCGGCCGGTGTCGCTGGGCTGTTGAGAGGGCCCATCCTCGGGCTGGCGGCCGCTCAGCAGGCGGGGGCCGGGCAGCTCAGGCTCATAGGCAGGAGCCCGTGAGCAGGGACGGCTGGCCCGGCTGATGAGCGGCTGTGCCAAGTGCTAGAAAGATGCATGGGAGACAGAAGCAGAGGCAGGATTGTGGCACGGCAGCGCAGGCTGGCGTCAGGAACCTTCGACATCTCAGAAAAAGTCAGGGGCACAGATGGAAACATTCATTCATTCATTCATTCATCAAACACAGTGAGCACCCGCTATTCTAGGTGCCGGGCAGACCGCATCAAACGCACCTGAGTCCCTGCCCTGAGAAGCTGAGCCCTAGTGGCGGGCGGGGGGAGGGTGGCTCAGACATACGGCAGAAGAATGTGAGGTGGCGGTAGGAGCCCAGGAAAAAGGGAAGCCAGGTGGGGGCAGGAGCCACAGGGAGGAGGTGCTCGCGGAGGGGGTGCCCCTGGGCACAGCCAGGAGGCCAGGACAGCGGGGCCAGAGGGCGGGGGCTAGGACGAGGGCCCCAGGAGCCAAGGAGCAGTGGCACCTCCTCCTAGAAGGCTGCTCCAAGCCAGGCGTCCTACACGCCGTCTCTGAGTCCTCATCTGGCACCAGAATGCCGGTGCTATTATTGTCTCCAAGCCACAGATGAGAAAATGGAGCCTCAGAGAGGCCTCCTCACCTCCAGCCCAGTTTCCTCCCCAGCATCAAGCTGCCGCCTGTGTCCCCAGGAGGCTGGATTTCAACCCCCAGACCCTCCCCAAAGGTCCTCCCTCCTCTCCTCTGGCACTCCCTCTACTATGGGCAGTAACTGGGTCCTCCATGCCTCAGTTTCCTCATCTGCAACACAGCAGTAGGGACCTGGCT